CTTGACTGCGTGCAGCACACGATCCAGCATCTCGTCTGCTCCGTACGGCCAGTATCGCTCAACAGCGCCCAGCAGGTAGTCAGCAACGACGACGTCATACTCTCGCCCTCGGAGCAGCTGTTCGTCACGCCAATTGCCTGTCACAATCTTGGTACCGTTGGCAGAGGCTGAAGAGATTAGAGCCTGAAGGCTCGAATGCCCATATATTCCCGACCCCTCTTCCGCTGTGACTCCTGTGAGGGTCTGGTACCGCTGCCGCAATAACCAGCACAAGGAACCGAAGCCCGTCCCTGCATCGAGCACGTCCCCCCACGACTGCACCCCCAGAGAATCGACCGTGCTCGAGAGCCACTTGTGAATGGAGCTGTCATTTCGCTTGCACTGATGCGGAGCTTCATGGAGAACCGAATGCACTCCCAGCACGGGTGCGCTGCTTGTCGGTGAACCTGACTGGCGCTGCAGAACAAAAACGGCCATGTCCAGCTCATAGTGGGTGCGCTTCGTGTCTCCAGAGCATCCGCCGCCTGGCTTTGCAACAACAAGCGCGTGTTGGGCATCTGTCTCATGTATTCCAGCGGTGAGGGGCAAACGTAAGGGGGGGGGTCGGCTCCGGGGAGCGTGGGGTAGGGGCGAGCCCCCAAGACGGCCCCAAGACCCTCACCGGGTCCCCAGGAAGGCCCCCGAGAGGCACTCAAGAGGCACCCAAGGAGCCTCATGAAAACAACCCTATCAGGCGAGCGCGGTGGCAAATTGAATGCGCGGCAGCGCCCCTGCATAGATATGGGAGGCGTGTCCAAGCGAGCACCCTCAGAGGCCGCGACGCAAAAGCCTCCGCCACAAAGGCGGCCGCCGCAGCCTCAAAGGAAGCCGCGCTGCGGCAGGTGGCCGCGGGGTGCACCCGCAGCGGCACTCGGGGTGCCCTCTTGTTCGACCTCCTCCCCTTTCGGCCCTGATACACCTTGTAGCCACAGCAGAAAACAATGTATACAGTCAACCCGCATAGTAGGGATGGGCAACCTTCCCAAGGGTACCCTTGCATCCACGCCTCCTCGGTCCGTCCTTCGCCGCTTTCGCTGGCCGCGCCCCGCTCGAAAAGCTTCGAAATGGGCGCCCAAAGGCCCTTGCATCCTTATCGCGCATCCTTACCACACGGGCTGACTGTAAGCATAAACCCTCGGAGGTCCGCATGGACTTCCTGGACTGGCGCCGAGCCCCCATCGTCAGCGCGCGGAGCGCGCCGGGGGCGGCGGCGGAGGCGCCGCCAGAGTGGGCCCAGCGCCGCTCCCGGAAGGCCGCGAGGACCTCCGAAAGAGTACGTCGTGCCGCTTTTCCTTCTCCGGACCTCGCCGCAGAAGGGGAGGACAATTGCCACGAGGAGCACGCCGTCTGGCTGGAGCCTCTCGTAGGCCGCCTCGATCAGAGACTGCGGATCGTCGGATCGATCCAAAACGTTCAGCAGACCTTTGGACGCCCGAGATGGGTACGGAAAAGATTGGTACGATGCCCAACAACCGATGTTGTCCAAAACCGGCAGCAGCCGCTGTTGGGCAGGCGGCCTTTTGTCTGTCATGGACAACGTCCTCGTCGACACCGACAGCGAGTCCTGCTCAAAACCAGCAGGAACTGGTGTCGGTCTTCTTACCCATTTCGAGCGTACAGAAGACCGATCACGTCGAACAGCTGCACCGAAAGGCCAGCAAAGTCCTGGGCCGCACGGTACCCGCGGGCCACCAGCGACCTCCTCAGCGGCGCGGACACCTCCAGGGCGTGCACCCCCTCTGGAGCAACACCTCGGGGACGGATAAACGGAGCATCGGTGGCACGCGAGTCGTCTTCCGGACTTGAGGGGCAACGTCAGGGGGGAGGCTGGCTCCGGGGGATGGGACACATCGACCTGGAATTGGCGAAACGTCGCGGACAGATCGGCGACAGGCCCCCCATAGCGAGTCCGCACGCTCCTGAGCGGAGTGCGCCATCGGGCCCCCATCGGCGACCAAAGGGCGATTGGGAGCCGATGCGTGCCCCCCTGAGCTTATCCCCACCTGACGTTGCCCCTGGAGACTGCGCGTGCTACTTACTCATCCGCTCTTCGCACAAACGCCTGGCACTTCTTCAACAGTAGCACGCCGATGGAGTCGTGCGGCCAGCGTGGCTCAGGGGTACACAGACCCCCATGTAGCAAAACAGCCGTTCTTCAAAACGGCCTGAGACCAGAGCCAGCGGGCGCAGGCCCGCAGCAACTGCGGAACACAACGCCCTCCCGAGAACCAGAGAGAGAAGTAACTCGCTAATCGATCTGACAGGGTGCAGCTTCTCATCAACATTCGATCGAAGAAAGACATGTACTTTCGCCAGAGGCGCCGCCAGGGGGGCCTCCGGCACCCCCCCTGGCGGCGCCTCCGGCGCCGCCCCTGGCGCGCTCCGCGCGCCATGGAAAGGGGGCCCAGCGCCGACCTGGGAAATCCGCGCAACGCTTTCCGATTCGGCGTTTCGACATGGAGCGAAAGGGGGGGACGGGCGGGTCTTAATGGGGGGGTCATAAATGGGGGGGTCAGAAACGGTCCCCTTTCGTGCCCCTTTCGGGCCCCTCCAGACCCCCAGGGGGCTCGTTTAGGTACCGTTTGGGTACCTTTTCGGACCACCCTCGCCGCCCCCCCATTTATGACCCCCCCATTACGCAGCGCCCAAGGGGGACGGGCGGGTCTGGCTCCGGACCTCTGCTGAGTGCGACGGTTTGGGACGGTGCTCCAGTGGGGAGTCCTAAGTGGGAATCCTACGTCTGAGTGCTGTGGGGAAATCGTGTGGGACAATCGTGTGGGGAATCTCGTGGGGGGGATCCCATTACGAATCCCATGGGACATCCTATGGGGGAGACTTCTGGGGCATCCTACGAAGACATCCGAATCCAATCAGAATCAATTTGGAATCCGACTGGAATCCTCAGAATTTGCATTTCCAGAGGATCCCACAATAACTGGCTACCCCTGGGGGTACGTTTTCTTGTCACAACGGATCCGGCGCCCTAGAGCCCCTTTCTTATTTTCCCGAGGGCCGCCCCGAAAACAATGCACAGTTGCGCGAAACACCGATTCGCGTGTATACCAGGGGGGGGAGGCGGAGCCCTCGTGCTTACTCCACCTGCTTGAAGCAGGCGCCAAAAACAGCCAAGATCTACTCCATAGGGGGGGTGCGAGGGCCCGCGCCGATCAGCAAAACAATGAATAAGAAAACGATCACGCGGAGCTCCGAAAGCATATGTTGACACCGCTGTTTCTTCTTCGAACCTCGGAGGGAGGTAAAACTGGGCTAGTAGCAGAGGTGGGTTTAGAGGAAAACCGCTCAAGACGGCATGGAACAAGAAAGTGTGAGCATCCAGCTGAGTTCGTTCCCCAACCCCACCTTGGGATCCACCGACCCCCGCTTGCCGGGGGTGGAAATGCGTGTGAGACAGTTGGCTGTCCCCCTCCCCCTTTCCCCCTACCCCAGCATCCAAAATCCGATGAAATGGGGGGGGAGGGGTTGTGGAGGGGTGGGGGGCCAACCATCCTGGGGGCTCTCAGGAGCTCCGAAAAAGTCCCAAGGCAGCCCAACAGGGCCCAGACAGAGCGCCTAGATAGTTGAAGAGAGCGTCATGACGGCCCAGGGTAGCCCCACGACGATCCAAGATGGCTTCAAGATGGCCAACGAGGCCCCCAAGAAAGCCCAAAAGCGCCTCCAGAGAATCGCCGAGAGGGCCCCAAGAGGTCAAAATTAACTCAGTCCCTTAGAAAACGAACATGTTCAGCACATTCGCATGTTACGTTCTGACAGCGAACACGACGGCCCAAGTGGCCCCCAAGATCGTCCCAAGACGACCCACGATGCCTCCAAGAAGGCCCAACAGCGGCCCAAGAGGGCCCAAAGACAGCCCCAGGGACCTCCGAACACGGCCCAAGACAGCCCCTGGAGGGCCCCAAGAGGGCTCCAAGCAAGCCCAACAGGGGAAATACGAACTGACAGTCCGAGCCCTTCCCACCGAGAAGGCCCCTCGAGCCCCCATCCGAGGCCCCCGAGGGCCCTCCAAGAGGCCCCCAAAGGCCTCCAAGACGCCCCCAAGAAGCCCCCAGAGGCCCCCACGAGGCCCCAAGAAGCCTCACACAAACAAGATATTCCAAGAGGCCCCGGAGAGGCATCCCAAGAGACCCTCAGCTTCGTCCAGGAGGCTCCTGACCCAAAACATAACTTCCACGATCGTCTCGAACGCTTACTCCTTGTTGGGGGTCGGCGGCATGGCGTAGGCCCCTTGAATCGTGTGATGCTGCACTGTTGGATAGCATCGCCTGTCCGATCCTGCCTGCCGTGCGTGTCACATCCGTGTCGAATCCGTGTCGAGCGCGTGAAATCCGTGTCGAATCCGTGTCGAATCAAAGCCAAACCCACGTCGAACCCACGTCGGAGCACAGTACAAGAGACCGCCGCCTGCAAGCCAGGAGAGGCCCCCCCCGAAGATGCAAGCAAAGAGATCCCCGCCTCTGCGAGCCCCCGAGATGCACGCCTACCTTCGAGTGGCAGCGGCACTGCCAGGCGGCGACGTCCGAGTCCTACCCCCGCCAACCATTCACTCTCCTGAATCGATGGGCGACAGGGGCCGGGTTCGGATCCCGCCGCGTGCTCGATGAATCTCGAACTCTGCTCCCGCCGCCCATCGAGTTGCGCGAATCATTGATCGGCAAGGCTGAGGTTCGGATTTCGCCGCACGCTCGACGAAGTCCGAACTCTACCAACGCCGCCAATGGAGTGGCCCGAATCGTTGATCAGCAAGGGTAGGGTTTGAATTTCGCCGCCGATCCATGTCCAAGGGCGCATGACTTCGCGCTTCGCGCCGCCCCCCAGAAGAGAAGAGGAGGATGAGGAATCGGAGCCGAACCGCGGAGCGCGAAGCGCGAATCACTTCGCGCCCTCGAGGGCGCCCTTGCCTACCTTCGAGTGACATGGGCACTGCTCTTGCCCTCCAGGCACCGACAGCGCTTGCCAGCACCTCGGTGACCGCACCGTTCCCAGCGCCGACGTCGAGCAGGGCCTGCGGAACCCGCCAGCACCGGGCCGAAAACACCGGACCAGATCGGGGAGCGCGCCGAGTGGGTAGGCAACCACAGATGTTCCCTACCCCCGCAGAACTTCGTCGATCTGATTTGGGGCGCAAAAGGACATACTGGTACCATGTACCGTCCTCGGAGGCGCGCGTCCGACCCGAACATATAGCATAACTATATTGTAATATGTATATATATATATATACAAACATACATACATACATACATACATATATATATATCATTTCCCGAGCGGTACGGCCAGGAAGCGCCCGCAACGACGCATATACTATAAGATTTGTCGGTGCGCGCGTCGCCCCTGGGGGGGCGACGCACATATAGTATAGTATAAGTTTGTTGGGGTGCCGCCGATGATTTTTTCGACTGGCGGTTTTTCCTCGACTTCGGTTTCCAAGGCCCGTTGTCGGGCCCCGCGGGACCACGCAAATGGATCTGGGGTGAAGCACTGGCCTGGGGAAGGGGTTGGGACGTGTGGGACGTATCGTTGGATGCTTGGGCGGCCTGTAGGTCAGTTTCAAAAATGTCTGCAGCCCAAAAAATCCGAGCGGGGGTGTCCGATAGCCAAACGTCGATTGGACCAGCAGGGGTCGGGTCCGCAAGTGGTCGCAGAATCGGACTGCATCGGCACGGGACAGAAGCCGGGCCGCACTAGACGGTCAGAACATCGGAACCAGATCGGATCAGGCTGACAGGAATCGACATCCAATCGGATCGATCGGATCGAACCACGGCTCGGGTCCCCACGCGGGCTGCTGCAGCACATCCCCAAGCAAGAAATGCTTCACGGGCATGCGAAAACGCAACAACAACAACAACAACAACAACAATCATTCTAAAACTGTTCGCTCCTATTTGCCCGCGTGTCATTCACTATGCATATCCCAAACCCTGGATACCCGCCCTCTTCGTCTTCGATCGTACCACTCTTGAAGGGGGTTATATTTATTCCCGGCCACGCGTAATTGGAGAAGCGCGGGAGGCGAACCCGCAATCAAAGGCAGCGAACTCTGGCACTTGTCGGTGAGACACCATTTCACGTGTCGCAAGCAGATATCAACGGCAATCCACACTGAGACCCATTTCATTAGCCACAACGCTGGGGTCACTGCGTGGAGGAAAGCGAAATACGGCAGTGGACAGTGGTGGTGCCCAGCGGCCCCGCGGGAGGTGAAGTCGGAGCCCGACGTCATCAATCACATTGCTGGGATTCGCGCGCGCGGGAATGTGATCAGCTATATACAATAACGAAGCGCCATTACTACAGCGCCAGGATTTGCTTGTGCGGAAAGGGTAAGCCTCAGCAGCAGGCGTTGACGATGCTGCTCAGCGTGATGTGGAGCGTCATAGGTGCCACCAATGTTCGAAATCGTTGCACATCCTTTGTGCTTTTGACCATGACGTCGCGATCTGCGTGAGGGGTGCCACCGATTTTCAGAATCCAAGGATGTCCCAAGCGAAACGGCCGGAAAAATCCCGGACGCGGCCGCGCGGGGCCGCGCGGCCGCGCGTACGCACTAATCGCCTCTGAGCTCCATTCCCTCGGAGAAGCGCGTATGAGAACAATAATTATTCAGGAATGAGAGTTCGAAGGAGGTCCCAGGCGGGAGCGCCGCTATGGGAGTTCAACGTAGCTCAGTTGCGCGGGAAGTCCCAAGCGGGAGCGCCGCTCCTTAAGTAAATTGTACGGAAGTCCCAGGCGGGAGCGGGGGTCCTGAGTAAATTGCGAGGAAGTCTAAAGCGGGAGCGCCGATCCTTGAGGGAGCGGGGGTCATGAGTAAATTGCGAGGAAGTCTCAAACGGGAGCCGTTGTTCTTGTAATCCGGGGGGCAACAACGCAGTTTGGGGATCAAGACGTTCCATGTCAAAAAACAGGGTGCGAGCGTCGAGGGGCGCACTTTGATTGAGAAAAGACAGTATGCACCGGCGGGGGGGGATCAATAATAATTATCTTCAAGAATAAGAATTCAACAGCAACAACAACAACAACAACAATCATTTTAAGACTGTTCGCCCTTCTATTCTCGAGTGTCCAATAACGCGTATTTCCCAAACCCTCGATACCCGCCCTCTTCGTCTTCGATCGAACCCCTTTTGGGGGTATACCTTTCTTCCCTGCAGGCCGGGCCCCGGCAAGCGGCGGGGCGGCCGCGGACCGTCGGCCTGGCCAGCGGCAGCGCTGATCGGCGGGGCCGCCGCGGACCGTCGACCCGACCCCAGGAGGGACGGAAAGGGGACCGACCACGACGACGACGACGACGACGTCGAAGACGACGGCGACGACTGCGACGACGAGCGAAAGCGAGAGCGAGAGAGAACGACAGCAGGGCCACGAAGGGCACGAAGGAGGCCGCGAATGGCGACAGCGGGGACACGAAGGGAATGCGTATGGGGCCACGAAAAGTGCGAACGAGCGGGGGCCACGAAGTGCAGATAATGCGGGGCCACAGAAGGCAACTATGGGGCCACTGAGGGTAGCAACTGGGCCACGTAGGACAATGAGGGGGACACACACAAATGGCGACAGCGGGGCCACGAAAGGCATGCACATGGGGCCACAGCGGGCGCGACTCCTGGGTGCCTGGGTGTCGGGAGCGCGGCGCTTAGGCAAATTGCAGGAAATTCCAACGCAAGGCTATTCTTCAGTAAGTTGCAAGTAAGTCTCCAGCGAGAGCGCGACTGCAAAGCTCCGGGAGAGCGATTCCTGAATAAATTGTAAGGAAGTCCCAAGCGAGAACGCGATTCCTGAATAGAACGCGAGGAAATCTCGGGCGGGAGCGGGGGTCCTGCTTAAATTGTAAGGAAGTCTCAAGCGGGAGCCGTTGTTGTTGTAACCCGGGGGCCAAGGGCCCAGTTTGAGCAGGAAGACTTTCCCTGTCAAAAAACCGGGTGCGAGCGTCGAGGGGCGCACTTTGATTGAGAAAAAACAGTATGCACAGGCGGGGGGATCAACAATAATAATTCTTCAAAAATGAGAATGCAACAACAACAACAACAACAACAACAACAACAACAACAACAACAACAACAACAACAACAATCATTTTACCCGAACGCTCAGTGTTCTCCCCAGCGCCAGGGTTTTCATGCGACGCCAGCCAATACCCCCACTTCGTGGGGGGGCAATGCAAGCTCTACCAAACATCCACACGACTCTCGGGAACCACCCACACCCAGCTTCCCGCCCTATGACGTCAGGACACTTCACTTCGTGGCGCGCGGACGATCGTGGATACTACACTGGCGTGGAGTACACACCCGCAGAGGTTGATCACTTGTTTGGGCCCCGCATGTGCCCCGCATGGTGCATTTGTTGCGTATGACATACATAGTACAGAGAGACAGAGAGAGAGAGGCTACGGATATGAGCGTGAGAGGAAGGGGGGAAGCCTCCTGGGGCCGCTGGGGGTCCTCTTGGGGAAGGGGGGAAGCCTCCTGGCGCCGCATGGGGTCCTCTTGAGAGGCTTTGGGGGGCTTCTTGAAAGCATGTTGGGGCCTCTTGGGGGCTTATTGGATCCTCCCGGAGGACTCTTGGAGCCGCTTGGACGCCTCCTGGGGCCATCTTGGGGGCCTCTTGGAGCCAACTTGGAGCCTCTTTGGAACCTCTTGGGGGCCTCTTGGAGTCCTCTTGGGGCCTCTTGGGACCATCTTGGGCGCCTCTTGCGGCCTCATGGGCGCCTCTTGGGGCCATCTTGAGCGCCTCTTGGGGCCATCTTGGGTTTTAAAGATTCATGAAGAGCCCGCGGGTGGATTTTGATATTTTTCGGATGAGAAAGTCTTGCGTTTGCATATGTTTTCGGAACATCGCATCTTGAAATTATTGAAATCACATTATGTTTGGCAGGATTTCGGCACGCGCGCGCGGCGGCCGCGCGCATGTGCACTTCGTGTCATTTTTTGCAAGGGATGGTGGCCCTCGTAGGCTCGCAACCGTTGTTGCAGAAGGTCGAAGCACCTGAAAAGGTTCCTCGCAAAGGCCCTTTTAACAGAAATGTTTAAAATCTGGTGGGTTTCCTAGGAATCCGCAAGAGCGCGCGGAAGGACATTTTGACAATTTTTTCTTAGAAAACCATTGGGTTTTTGATGTTTTTATGTTAAAATCGCTACGAAACCTAAGGTTTTGGAAGGATTTCGTCTTGCGCGCACGAATGTCCACTTTACCTTATTTTTTGCAAGGGATTCTTGCAATTTGATCAAGTAAAAACAAGAATTTTCATTTTCTATTGTTTTTTGCAAGGGAAAACGAGCGTCAACAAAAAACCGGATCCGGAGCTCATCCACTTTTCTGAAGCTTTCGCGAAAAAATGATGAAAATGTAGCTGCGGCCTAGGCGCGGCGCAGAGGTCGCGCACCAGGGGTCCCAACAATAATAATTCTTTAGAAGGAATAATGTTCAACAACAACAACAATCATTTTAAGACTGGTCGCCCTTTATCTGCTCGAGTGTCGAATAACGCGTATTTCCCAAACCCTCGATACCCGCCCTTTTCGTCTTCGATCGAACTCCTTTTGGGGGGTACACCTTTCTTCCCTGCAGGCCGGGCCCCGGCAAGCGGCGGGGCGGCCGCGGACCGTCGGCAGCGAGAGAGAACGACAGCAGAGCCACGAAGGACACGAAGCAGGCCACGAAGGGCGATAGCGGGGACACGAAGGGAATGCGTATGGGGCCACGAAGAGCGCGAACGAGCGTGGGCCACGGAGGAAAATAATGCGGGGCCACAGAGGGCAAAGATGGGGCCACTGAGGGTAGCACCTGGGCCACGTAGGACAATGAGGGGGCCACAAACGGCGACAGCGGGGCCACGAAGGGCATGCACATGGGGCCACAACGGGCGCGAACGAGCGGGGGCCACGAAGGGCATACGTATGTTGGGCCGCGAAGGGTAAGGACGGGGCCACTGTGGGCAGCAACGGGGACACGAAGGGCAGCGAGGGGGCCACGAAGGGCGACAGCGGGGCCACGAAGGGCATGCATATGGGGCCACCACGGGCGCGAACGAGCGGGGGCCACGAAGGGCATACATACATGGGGCCACGAAACAAAGCGAGGGGGCCACGAAGGGCTGCAACGGGGCCACGAAGGGCAGCGAGGGGGCCACGAAGGGCTGCAACGGGGCCACGAAGGGCTGCAACGGGGCCACGGAGGGCAGCGAGGGGGCCACGAAGGGCTGCAACGGGGCCACGAAACAAAGCGAGGGGGCCACGAAGGGCTGCAACGGGGCCACGAAGGGCGACGAGTAGGCCACGAAGGGCTGCAACGGGGCCACGGAGGGCTGCAACGGGGCCACGAAGGGCTGCAACGGGGCCACGAAACAAAGCGAGGGGGCCACGAAGGGCTGCAACGGGGCCACGAAGGGCAGCGAGATCCTGATTCCTAGGTAATATGTGAAGGAGTCCTAAGCGTGAGCGCGACTCCTCGGTGCCTGGGTGTCGGGAGCGCGGCGCTGGAGTCAGTTGCAAGAAATTCCAACGCAAGGGCGCTATTCTTCAGTAAATTGCAAGCAAGTCTCGAGCGAGAGCGCGACTCCAGAGCGCAGGAGGAGCGATTCCTAAATAAATCGTAACGAAGTCCCAAGCGAGAGCGCGATTCTGCAGTAAAATGCGAGGAAGTCTCGGGCGGGAGCGGGGTTCCTGGCTAAATTGTGAAGAACTCTCAGGCGGGAGCCGTTGTTGTTGTAACCCGGGGGCCAGGGGCCCAGTTCGAGCAGGAAGACTTTCCCTGTCCAAAAACAGGGTGCGAGGCCCGGGGGGGGCACTTCAATTGAAAAAATCAATGTGCACCGGTGGGGGGGATCAACAATAGTTGTTCTTCAAGAATGAGAGTTCAACAACAACAACAACAACAACAACAACAACAACAACAACAACAACAACAACAACAACAACAACAACAACAAAAAAAACGCGCAAACACGAATCAGCGATCCATGGATTCAGCGCGCGGTCGCCCAATCCATTGATCGGGGGGAATGCCCTCCCCAAAGTGCGGCCGGTGCCGCCTCGCGCGGCGGCGGGAATCCGCGGTTTCCCATGGAAGCGGGACCCGTCGCTAATCTTAAGTCGGGCCTGTCCCCCTACAGGGGGATTTTGGACGAAAAAGAAAAGATCATAAACAAATATCCCCATAGTCAAAAAAATAATCAAAATATAGTCCCCTGACTATTTTGGACTATTTTTGAATATTCCTCCTGTAGATGGGTTTCTCATGGATGAAGGGGCCCTGGGACACACAAATAAATACACACAAATAACAGGATTCCCAATATTTTCCCATATTTTCTGTGTCTTTGTCTCCCCCCCCACTTCCCATATTTTCCTATATTTTCTGGGGACTCGACGAGTCATTGTGTCTGTGTGTTGTCGTTTCCTCCTGATGGAAGCGGGACCCGTCGCCAATCCACGCCCCCTTGATCCATGCCTGCGATCGCCCGGCCGCAGCGTGCTCTCCCCCAAGCCCCAGGGGCGCAGCTCGCAGACCGGGGCCCCCCTTTGCCCTGGGGGGCACCGAAGAGGGGGGCGGCCCGAAGAGGACAGTGTTGAAGGGGCCCTGGGACACACAAATGAACACACACACACAAATAGCAGATTTCCCAATATTTTCCCATGTTTTCTGGGTTCTTGTCTTCCCCCCCGAGTCCCATATTTTCCCATTATTTTCTGGGGAATCGACGATTAATTGTGTCTGTGTTTTTCCCCCTCCTGAGTCATGGTCCGAGGCACGTGCGCGGACAAGGAGGGGGGCTAAGGGACATCTTGCAGAGGCCTCCTAGATGGGATCGGAGTGGGTGCGGTCGGAGGATCGAGCCGCATCGCTGATGCATCGGCGATACATCGCCGATGCCTCGGCGATGCATCGGCGATGTCGGCGTCGAGAAAATCAGGCTCCGCATCGTACCGCACCGCCGATGCGTCAGTGATGCGGGGAGATTCTCCGAGCCCATCTACTCCGACCCCATCTGGGAGCCCCCGATCTTGACAGAAGAAGAGGGGGCCACGAACCCTGGGAGGTCCCATGGACCCACCCGCAGTCCTTGCCCCCCATCTTCGACGCCCGACGGCGTTTCGGTCACGACTCGGACCTCCAAGGGCCCTCGGCGAGATCCGCCGACGTGATCTTGCGGCCCCAGAGATCCAGACCTCCTCGGGCCAGTGTTTCGAGGAGAATGAGGAGGAGGAGGAGAAGGAGGAGAAGGAGGAGGAGGAGGAGGAGGAGGAGCCCCAGGTCCAAGTCTGATGGCCCCCGAGCCCGATGCCGGGCCGCAGAGTCCCAGGTCGAAAGGAGCAACAAGGGCATGCTGGAAAGAACAGAGCGTCGGAGGTCTGGTGCGGAAGCCGCCGAAACAGGCCCTGCCCACCTAGGAAGGGTACAGTCGGGGCGTTGACCTAAGGAACCCTAAATAAGGAACGGGGCCCCTTTCTCCCATTAGTTGAACTTCGATGTCCCATGGAAAACCTCGGGAAAACAGAAGGCAAATTGTATAACAATCAAGGAACACCGAGCCCCTCCCCAACGAAAAGGGTTCCTTCTTCAGGGCCCCGACTGTACGCCCGAAAAGGGTACGCCCGAAAGGGGTACGGGGAAAAAAAGGCACGTTGCCAAACGGCACACGGTGTCCCAAACTGACAGCGGCAACTGTAGAGGCAGGCGGTTGTCTCAAGTGGACAGCGTCCGCGGCGGCACCGACAGCAAATCCGATCCAGAATGGATGGGAACTGATGACGGCCGTCGTCACCAATTTCGACCGTATCGAGAAGTGGAGCCCCCCCAAGACTTCCTCCTAGGTCGCGAGTTCGCTCCGACAGCCCCAGGGACCATGAGGGCCCTAGGAAGCCAACAACAGCGAAAACCTCAGGACACGTTCCCCTCCCCAGAGATCCGACGTTGCGAAAAACTAAAGCATCACAAAAAAAAACGACCAGAGCCCTTGACCCCGTCTGTCTGCTGCATTTTTCGAGCTGGATCGATCGGTGAGGGTCCTCATAAGCGACAAACGTATCCGTCTCCGCGGCATCGCCGGCCGGGCCCCTGGGCCGCGACCCCGCGGATATGGTGAGCTGTTTCGCGGATCCCCCGCGCGGAACGTATCCGTGCGACGGCGTATCCCCGGGATCGCGCCTCAGAATCCAGACCGCGAGGGCACGGACACGGACGCGTGCGCCGCTGGTGAGGGCCCCGGGGCCCGAAGCGGGGGCAAAACGCCTGGCGTTGCGAAAAAAATTGCAGCGCGCAGATCTCGGGGTCCCTGGCCGCCCCCTGGCCTGCCGCCTCGCCGCCTTCGCCCCCGCGCCCCTCTCCGCTGCACGCCCGAGCAGGCGCCGCAGCTGGCCCTCCGACGCAACGTGCATCGCCGGAGGAGGAGAAGACGGCACAAGCACGAGCTCGTCCAGCTCCCCGCAGCCCTCCCCAGACATGCAGCCACGAGCTGGAGAAAAACAGGACGGAGGTTCTTCTCAGTGGCCTGCCTCTGTGGCCCCTAACGGGTCCAGGACTGTCAAAAAAGAACTCGGAGTGGAACACCGGCCCTTGTGGAAGGGTCGGGACGGTTGGGGACCGCGTGCTGAAGAAATCAGGACATCGCATGTCCAGGTCCTCCTCATCAGCCGATCATACCAATCAACCAATCAAGCAATCCATCTCCTCCCCCTTCCTATCCCTTGCCCTCCTCCTCTCCCTCCTCCCGTCCTCCCCCTTCCCGAATCCCCTCCCTCTCTTCCTCCTTCTCCTACCTCATCCTTGAACTCCTCCTCCAGACAGCTGCATAGACGATAACGCCCTGTCGTCAGTGAGAGCACCGTCTCAAATAATGCGCGAGCTTTGTTGCGCTGCCGACATGCCCCACGATGCCATCACGATAATTAGACATGGAGGCGCGCATGGCTGAAGATGAGATTGCCGTGATCTCTTCCAGCTCAGCGGTACAGTATTCGGCCTGACCTAAGGAACGATAAATAAGGAACGAAGCCCCTTTTTTTCCAAGTAAGACTACGAAGTCCGAAGGGACACCAGGGGGGCTCGCCGCCGAAAAGGTAGCGGAACGCATGCAAACCAAAGGAACAACCGGGCCCCTCTTTGAAAAATGCTCCTTAGTCAAGCCAGACCCTGTAGCGAAGGCTCTCCAGGATCACCCGGGCGACCTCGCGGGGCCGCACCTCACGGTCACGACGCCCCAGGGGGTTGTGTGGAGGCCACTGCCAGGCTGGCCAGGCGCAGCGGCCGCAGATCGGGCGAGGCTGAGGTCAGGATGACGTGCTCGTGCAACGAGAGCGCCTCAAGAAGCAGCGGCCCGTCCTTGGTGCGCGCACGGTCAAAGTCTGCAGCGGCGGTCCGACTCCTGGGGTCCAGTACGGGGCGACTCTGTCTACGGGACTTCTGACCGTGCGCTCCTTGGGCTTCGGAGGGGTGCTGCTTCCACGATCAGACCAGCGGCTGGCATGCGTTCGCTTTCCCGGCTCACGAGTCAGGAAGATGACCCAGCTTGGTTTCGAGCTGCAGGGCCTGCTATTCGGTTCTCTCAGGATTATGTGGTTCTTGCACACGGGAGCCTTTGACTTCACGCTGTCTTGGGCGAAGCTTCGCCATGCCTGGGATCGGGCCGTGCGGACCGACAAGAACGCTAGCTGGGGGGGGGCGGGCCCGATGATGGCCCTGCGTTTGTGTCTCGCTAAGATCGCTTGGTCGATGAGCTCGTTCTCAGACTTCATTGACGACTTCGGGGACACCGTCTTCTCGCGCTCACCTCCCCCGGGCTTGTTGGCATTCTCTTGCGGCAGGCTGTGCTTAGGATTTTAGAATAGGGAGCGGCTGGCAGGGGAAGAGTGATGGGAAGTTCCCGCCAAGAGAACGCGGCTGCATCCGCAGTGCTACCACCAGCGCAGTCTGGACGAAGACCAGGGCGCTCTCTCTCTTGGCTTCCAGCTAGATGGCACACTGTGTGCGGCACGCTCCTGCTCAGGCTGTGGAGCTGCCCACACGGCCAGGATGAGAGGAGGGAGCTCCTGGGGGAAGATTACGCTTCTGTGATTCGCTCGGCGTTCGGAAGCTGAAACTCATGAGGACGTTCTGCTTTCTACCCTTGGTATCGCTCGGCATCCTGGCGACGAGTCCCCGGGGGCTCTGAGAGATGCAGGTGTTCCACATCAATGTGACACTCCTGGGGCCCAGGGTGCGCACGAGGGGGAGGCCGTCACTCGGATCGCTCTCGCGGGCCAAAACTTTGAGGACAGGTCCTGGTACCGCCATCCTTCTGGAGGGGAAAAAAGGACGCAATGAATCGTCAATTCCCCAGAAAATATTGGATAAGATGGGAAGTGGTGGGAAGACGAAAATAAAATTATCCCAGTGCGATCCTACCTAGGAGTTGGAACACCTAGGAAAGCAGCATTAGTAGTAACAGTAAGGCTGAGCTAAAGCTAAGCTAAAACTAAGGTAAAGCTAAACTAAAGCTAAGCTAAAGCTGAACTAAAGCTAAGCTAAAGTTAAGCTAAAGCTAAACGAAAGCTAAGCTAAAGCAGAGCTAAAGCTAAGGCAAATCTCAGCTAAAGCTAAGGCAAAGCTAAGCTAAAGCTAAGCCAACGCTAAGCTGAAGCTAAGCTAACGCTAAGCTGAAGCTAAGCTAACGCTAAGCTAAATTTAAGCTCAAGCTAAGCTCAAGCTAAGCTAAAGCTAAGCCAACGCTAAGCTAAAGTTAAGCTAAAGCTAAGCTACAGCGAAGCTACAGAGAAGCTAAAGCTAAGCTAAAGCTAAGCTAGAGCTAAGCTAAAGCTAAGCTACAGCTAAGCTAAAGCTAAGCTACAGCTAAGCTAAAGCAAAAGCTAAAGCTAAACTTAAAGCTAAATCGAAAGCGAAAGCTAAAGCTAAGCTAAAGCTAAAGCTAAGCTAAAGCTAAAGCTAAGGCTAAAGCTAAAGCCAAAGCGAAAGCTCCCAGGGGACTGGGGGAACCGCTCCCAGGGGACTGGGGGAACCGCCCGGGGCGCTTTCCACTGCCCGGCCCCTTTAAGCTAGAGAGTAAGAACCCTTCTAGGCAGAGCCTAGGTAGGGAAAAATGGGAATCCTGGGATGTGTGTGTTTATTTGTGTCCCTGGGCCCCTTCCATCCTGTTCGGGAACTGTCAAAGGCTGGCTTCGGCGCGGTCGTTTTATCGCCTGGCGGTGACCCTTCGGCTACCGCCCCTTTGGGCCCGTGTGGGCCCCGTGGCCCCGGACGCCTCCAGGAGGCGGGTGTGGTGCTCTCGCTGCCGTACCGCACGTGCCTGTGGAGCCGCCTGCCACGTATTCCGGTCGCGAGGGCATCGTCAACCACTGGCACCTCGCTCTCCCGCTGGCTTTCTCGCACACACGGGTTCGTGCTGGCGTCGTGCTCGGGCCAGGCTCCGAGACGCGTGGCAGTGCTCTGTGGGTGTCCTCGGGGGTCGCGTCCTTCCGTTCCCCCCCTCCGTCCAGGCGCCCTGGGGCTGCGGGCCATTCGGGGGGTGGCCGCATGTGATTGTTCCGATGCCTCGTTTGTGGCGGTGTGCACACGCTGCAAGCTGTACTCTGCTGGGGGGCAGCCTCGAGGTTTGAGAGAACGATGCCCACTCGCGCACGCTGCGTTGACGGATCATCGCACGCGAGGCCGCGGGTGCACCTGGCGCCGTAGCATCAGGGGGCTGCAGCCGAAGCTGGAAGGGATTGCTCTGCAGATCGTGGGCCTCACTGCTGAGGGCCTTGACGAATCTCCCCCCGCTCCTGACGAGCCTCCTCCTCCTCCTCCTCCTCCTCCTCCTCCTCCTCCTCCTCCTCCCCTCCTCCTCTCCTCCTCCTCCTCCTCCTCCTCCCCCTCCCCGTCCCCCTCCCCGTCCCCCTCCTGCTCCTCCCCCTCCTCCCCCCCCTCGTCTTTCCAGACAGACCAAAACCACATCCACGACGGTCTAATTTTTTCAATCGGTGGTGTTTCCTTGCTTTGGGCCTCTGGGGCCCGTGACCAGGCCCCTGGGGCCATCAAAAACGGATCCGGGGCGAAAAGCTGGCGGATATCTGGCAATTTAGGAGGTGACTTCTCCTGGGCCTCCGACTCACTCCCCCAGTAGCCCTCCTCCTCCTCTTCCTCCTCCTCATCCACGGCCTCCTCCCCCCTCCTGCTCCTCGCTTGCCCTTCTCCTCCCCCGCACCCCTCCGACGAGACGTGCATCGCCGGAGAAAAAAAAACTGCCCGCGGAACTTCAAAAGTTTATGTTTATGTCGTGTTCTCTTCGTCGAATCGTGCTGCGGTCCACGAAGGCGGACGCGTCGGTCCTTGTCCAGCCGAGAACCTCCTGAAGCGCACGGCCCGAAATCCCGAGCACCTGCAGGATCGGACGCCGAGGGAGGATCACAGCGATGATCACAGCAGGTCCCCAGGTCAGCACCGATGGCAGAGCTGGACAAGTGCACCTCCCTGGTGGGAGGTGGCCCTCGGTAGCAATCTGCTCACGGGGCTTCTTGGGAATCGAATTCTGGATATGGAAGCCCACCGAGCACCCTGGACTATCACCCAGTTGGATGATGGGGGAGAGGGGGAGGGAGGCGGGAGAGAGGAGGCGCCAGGAATGGAGGGAGGGAGAGGTGGAGGGGGAAGACGGAGAGGGCGGAAGAGGAAGAGAGTGAAGCGGAGGAAGAAAAGAAGAAGGGGGATGGGGATGAAAGGTGAATCAAAAATGACCTAGACTGCACAGGTTCCTGAAGCTTTCCCTCCGAACAGGAGCACCTGACGCAGATCCCACCAACCCTCTGTGCGCAGGTGGTTCAGGGAGTTCAGGGAATCAGCCCTTCCAGGCAAGAGACTACAGTTCCCATTCATGGCGGAAGATGGTCAAAGTCGCTCCGGTTGGCCTGAAAGATAACTTCAAGAGGCCCCATAAAGGCCCCATGATGGCTCCGAGGTGGCCCTCAAACTTAACCCAGAATGCCAGCGAGATGCAAACGAGTTGACAGTTAAAAACTTTGTCTGGTTTTCGGCTCCTGGTGGGTCCGTAAGGTATCAAGATGGCCCCAGGGTAAGATGGCTCCAAGAGGGCCCCAGGAAGGCACCAAGAGGGCGGCAAGGAACAGTCCCAGGATGAAGAGTCCCCCAAAAAACATTCACGAGGAAAAGAAGAGCACGTTACTGGTTCAGTAGTTGGTCTGTATGCTTGGGCCCCATGAAACGGTTGCCTTGATCCATGGGGAGGCGCTAATTGGGTGCACCTTCCAATTTTGGTCGCAAGCCTCAAGAGAACATCAAAGGGACCTGAGAGGGCACCGAGGCCCCAAGCCTCCCAGAAGGGCCCCGTCCCTCAAAATGGATGCAAGAGGAGCCCGAAAGGCTGCCAGAGGCCAAAAGGCGGTTATGCGCGCGGTTGCTTGGGATGCCCCCTCCTGTGGCATGACCGATCTCTATTTCGCAAGTGCTAAACCACTTCCCGTCTCATGGCAGCTCTCTGAGGATTCGTATCTGGATAGGCTGGTGGGGACAAGCGAAGCGGCAAGATACTGAAGCCAATCTACAACATGTGAACTGTATCATTCTGCAGGTGCTCCAGATTTCGAATGGTATATTTTCTGCTTAACGTACACCGTCACTCGTCCAGCCCAGCTCTGCGCCGCCTCTGCGCATCTGGTCAGGAACTGTTCCGTATCGTCATCCTTCTCGGACAGTACGAATGTGGATGCCAAGTGTTCAGCTGCAACGTGTATATGTTCTACACTCTTATTGTCATCACCAGCAAACCAGGATGCCCTCGCGGCCTCGAACTGCCAAGCATGAATAGTATAATGCTGTCCTTCAATAGCCTTGCCCAACTGAGGTACCGGCAAGACCAGACCTGCTCGCCCAACATATGCTATGATCACAACGATAAAGGCGACTAGATCCGCCACCGTGTCTCAGACACGTTGTGAAATGCCTCCAGGTCCTTTCTGACGAACCTTCGACATTGAATGTACAAGCTTCAGTAGTCGAATGCTACTGCATAATGGTTTGTAAGTTCTGCAGGCCTTTCGCTCCCAGGCGCTCTTGGAGGCGTTCGGGCCCGACTCAGATCAATCGCATGACGTCTCCCGAAACCCAGGATCGTGGTTAGGAGCTGACACATCTAACATGCACCAGGACAGCATCAAATTCACTCTTGGGGACCTCTAGGGAATCTCCCGTTGCGCCTGGATCTGGGCAGCAGCTAAACAGCCCCAAGAATTTACATACCCACAAACTGCTTCGCGAGCTGATCATTACCGCCTTTCGGAATGGAGAGGGTCAAATAGGGACCCAAAATGGCCCCTGACCTGAGGCTCCTCAGAATGGCTACACAGATGAACGAACTATATACACAAGTTTCGAAGTTCCGCGCGGATTTCGTGGATCGGCGCCAGAGGCGCCGCCGGGAGGGCCCAGCGCCGATCCAAGAAATGCGCGCGGAGCTCCCGAAGGTTACGCTTAGGAAGATTTTTCGAATGACACAAGACGCCCTCAGGATGGCCCCAAGAGGGGCTCAAGAAGGAGACCGCGAACGGACAACCTTAGGAACACGACTGGGAATCCGCCCTCTCCCCCCCCAATCGGCCATCAGGAGGCTCCCAAAAAAGGGGAGGCCAAAAGGCTTCGATACCACTACTCTCCAGACCTCGCCAGGGGTGTGTTCTGACCAGAATTTCGAGGCGAATCCAGCGATAACAGCGAAGGCCCCCGCGGAGGTCCGACAAATAGCGGTGTCGGTACCTCCTCCTCCTCATCCTCCTCATCCTCCTCCTCCTCCTCCTCATCCTCCTCCTCTTCCTCCTCCTCCTCCTCCTCCTCCTCCTCCTCCTCCTCCTCTCCTCCTCCTCCCCGTTCCGATCCTCCTCCCCCTCCCCATCCTCCTGTCTCCTCCTCGTCCTCCTCCCTCCTCCTCCCCTCCTCCTCCCCCTCCCCCTCCTCATCCT